TATATATTCCCCAAATTCTGTGCTCTGCCTGGTAATGGTACTAACTGGTAGCTTCAACACAATATTTGAATAAATATGCAAATTAGAGGTTAGAGGCTTCTTTTTTGTATTCACTGGGGTATCTTTGGTGCTTTGCTTTGTACCTTGCTGAATTCTTAAGCTCTATTACAGTCCTCTTTGAGAGATTTTTTTTAAAATTCCAGGATAATATCTTTCAAGACAAAATTATTATTATTATTTTTTTTTATTGCAAAAGTTTTACAATTACATTTTCACCCCTTTTTCCCCCCCCACCTCCCCCCCAGACTTCCCAACCTCCCTAACCCTCCCTAACCCTCCCCTCCCCTCCCCCCAGACTTCCCTATAATATACTCATACTCATAAAAAACCCTTAATATAACACTTATATGTAAACTTGAACCCCTCCCTCCCCTGTATAATTTTTCTCTTTACCTCATTACATTAAACTATTTCTAATACATTATTTTCAAATAAAAGCTATTTGATACTTTCTAGTTTGATATTTGTTCTGAACATATTCTATCCACCTTTTCCATTCCCCTTCATAAGTCTCTTGTGAACAATCTTTTAAATATGCTGAAATCTTCGCCATCTCTGCAAAACTGGCCATCTTCAAAGTCCATTCCTCGATAGTGGGCAAAGCTTCATTCTTCCAGTATTTACCTATCAACAATCTTGCTGCTGTTATCATATACAATATCAATTTTGTTTCACCTCAAGACAAAATTATTAACAAACTCCTAAATAACAGCTGCTATCTGGAGTTCTCCAAATTAGATTTATTTATGTCTGATTATAACAATAATTTGAAAATAAATAAGGGACATAGATATTTTTTGACATTAGAAACAAGGAAGACAAGCCACTATTAACCTTTTCTCAAATAAAAATAAAATATGCCTACGGCCTTTTCTAGAGATGGAGTTTCTTGTGGTTATTTCCAAACCCCAAGTGAAGTGCTCCAGAAAACATTGGAGAGAGATCATGAGCAGAATGATCAAGAGCCATGGTGGTGCAGTGGTTAGAATGTAGTATTGCAGCTAACTCTGTTCGCTGCCAGGAGTTCGATCCTGACCGGCTCAAGTTTAACTCAACCTTCCATCCTTCCAAGGTTGGTAAAATGAAGACCCAGATTGTTGGGGGCGATACGCTGACTCTGTAAACTGCTTAGAGTGGGCTGTAAAGAACTGTGAGGTGGTATATAAATCTAAGTGCTATTGCTACTACTAACTCTTGCCCCTGAAGAAGAGATAATCTTCCTCTGGATCATGAGCAAATGGCAAGGATATGTTCCTCTTGAGGCTGAGGTTATAGGCAAATGGCAAACCTGGGAAGTTTATCAGCTACAACAGTGATTCATCTCCTATATTTGGTTCTTTTATATGGTATGCACGTATGTAACATTACCTTCTCATCCCTATGGTGATCTGTGTCTTCCTCAATCTCAGGTTCTTTACTGTGGCCTGAGAGCCTGAGAGTTCTGTGCAGGACCTCAGCTGTTCCTAGCCCTGCAGTATGATGTCATTCCTGGGATCTGGTGGAGCCACCCTCCCAGCTTAGGAGTCACAGCCCCCAATGTTCCCACTACCAAGCATTGAGACCACTTTGGCTTTCCTTTTCCATCCTCTCTAGTTCCTTCTTCAAGCCCTGGCACTTCTCCTGTCCTTAGCACCTCTACATCTGTCACTACTTATTTATTTATTTATTATTTATTAGTTCGATTTATATGCCGCCCTTTTCCGGAGTCTCAGGGCGGCTTACAATGCTTTTAAGCAATAGCCTTCATACTTTTGTATATACCTGCTTAGTAGGGCTTTTGCCCCCACCCCCCAAAGCGGTGTTCTTTTTTATACAAAATCGGCTTATTGCCCCCACAATCCGGGTCCTCATTTTACCTACCTCGAAAGGATGGAAGGCTGAGTCAACCTTGAGCCTGGTGAGAATTGAACTCGCAGTAATTGCAGGCAGCTGGCAGCTATATACTACTTTAACAGTAGTTTAGTCCACTGCGCCACCAGGCTCTTACTTCTGGTCCTTGTCTATTACTACAATGTCTGGTAGATTGATTGGCTTGCCTGCCTGTCTGGATCTCAAAGTCCCAGAGGATTTTCTGTGCAAATGCTCCTGTACATGATGCCAGCTCCTTGGTTGTGCCATGCGATGCACCTGCATGCATTTTACACCCTGTCATTATTTGTTGGATAGTCTCTGAGATCTCTCTGCAGCTTGGATCCTATTTTTATTTCTTGATATATGTATTTATTCCTCCTGTTTTCCTCACAGCAACAAACCTGTGGGGTGGTTTGGGCTGAGAAAGACTGACTTGCCCAAAGGCACCCAGCTGGCTTTTATGGCTAAGACAGAACTTGAACTCATGATCTCTTGCTTTCTAGCCTGGTGCCTTAAAACTAAGAGCCTTGGTAGTACAGGGGTTTAAGGCACCCTGTTATTAAGCTTATTAAGACCAGCTGCCTGCAATTACTGCAGGGTTCGAATCCCACCAGGCTCAGGGTTGACTCAGCCTTCCATCCTTTCTAAGGTAGGTGAAATGAGGACCCAGTTTGTGGGGGCAATAAGCTGACTTTGTATAAATATACAAAAGGATGAAGGCTATTGCTGAGCACATTGTAAGCCGCCCTGAGTCTTCGGAGAAGGGCGGCATATAAATCAAATTAAAAAAAAAAAAAAAGGCACCAGTCTGGAAACAGTGTCTCTTTTCCTTGCTGGGATCCTTATCTTGCACTAAGGATTGTCCCCTGGAGAACAGCCCCGTCTTGAATTCTGATCTCACCTTCCTCTTTTGGTGCCTGGAGGTTGGAACCTCTGTCAGATGTTAGTTTGATCATGACCAGAACCTGCAGCTGCTCTTGCTTCTGCTTATGGCTTAGCAGGTCTTCTCTGGCTATCAAGCCCAGCCACAATCTCTTCTAATGCCAGGTCCTCGACTTACAACCACAACTGAGCCCAACATTTCTGTTGCTGAGCAAGGCAGAGGTGAAATGAGTTTTGCCCCATTTTACAACCTTTCTTGCCACAGTTGTTAAATAAATTACTGTTTATTTAAGTTAGTAACACAGTTGCCACGTGAATCTGGCTTCCTCACTAACTTTGTTTGTCAGAAGGATCCCCTGACTCCGGGACATGGAAACCATCATACATGCCAGTTGTCAAGTATCCAATTTTGATTTATCAAGTATCCAAATCCTGTGTGACCACAGGAATGCTGTACAGGTCGTAAGTGTGAAAAATTGTCATAATTTGCTTTTTTTCAGTTCTATTGTAACTTTGAACCATCACTAAAGGAACGGTTATAAGTCAAGGACTCCCCGTAGATAAGTTCTTTTGGGGCTGCCCATGGAGGGGAAAGGAGGGCAAGAGAAGCAGCTTGGCCACTGGAGCTGGCATATGCCAACTCTTGCGCTCATTAAAGGGAAGCAAACTTACAACTTATCATGGTATAAAATTTTCCATGTGTCAGGTGCCAGATATTTCTACAGGGACGCTGGCATTTTGGTGGGAGGAAGGGGGGAGGAATGGAGTGATCTGTATACAAAGTTTCAGTTTCTGTTTCCTGCATTACTCTGTTAATCTCTATATGAAGTTTCTGTTTCCCTGCAATGATGTAGCGTGGGAGAGGTTTGGTTAGCATTGCTTTAAATAAGTGGTTTTAAGTGAGAAGCTTCAGTTCTTGCCTAGATCTCTTGTTATCACAAATCTTTCAATAAAAGCTCCTTTTGGAACAACTGCAATTTCAAGAGTCCTGCTTTCTTGGGAAGATTGGAGAGGCAAGACTTTACACCATGTCAATCTTTTTTATTAGTTTATAAAATAAAATACAAAAATATAAAATCAATTAATAGGAAAAATAGGGGAAGGAAAAGAGAAGAGAAAATTGTAGAGAAGAAGGGAAAAAGAAAGAAAAGGCATTGACTTCTGACTCCCTCTGGTGTAGAACATCAAACCTCAACTTTTTACTTTTACATAATAGTATAGCCATTTCTATAACAACAAATATATTTAATCAGTAAAACCGACAATCAAAGTTTCATTTTCCCTCTACCTCAAGCACAAAGTTCAGAAATGGTTTCCAAGTAGAAACAAAAGTAATTGTGTGGTTTTTTTTTTTTTTTCTTTATCAAAGCAGTCCATTTCTGATAACTCCATTTGTCTATTGTGGGGATTGAAGAGTCCTTCCATTTTTGTGCATAAAGTAATCTTGCTGCCATCAACATATATAACATCAAAGTTCCAATTTTTCCCCCCAAGTCTTTTTCCATAAAACACCAAAGGAAAGTTTCTGGTTTTATCTTTATATTCACTTTAAGAATCATTTTTTGCATTAGAATATGAATCCTACTCCAATATTTCTTTGCTTTATCACATGTCCACCATGAATGATAAAAAGTCCCTTCTTTACATTTGAATTTCCAACATTGAATGTATAAATGCCTTTATACATTCTTGATAATTTATCTGGTGTTAAATACCAATGATACATCACCTTATAAAGTTTTTCTTTTAAATTGTAATTTAATGTAAATTTTAAAGTAAAATTTTATAAAATTTTCAAGAAAGGTAGCCTTGCTTCTCTTTACCATTAAACATATGGCAAAGATCCTACTTCTTTCCTCAAATTGTCCATTTTGCCTGTTTTTTCAGATTGTTTCAAAACTTTATGATGGCAATGCCAACAAAAGAAATGACCCTGTCCAATAGTTTGACAAACCTTTCTTTTGAATGTTTTGTGCTTGGGGGGGGGGAGGTGTTCGGGAAAACTTAACTAAACAGAGCTTTTGCATTTTGTAGACATCCTTCTCTGTAATGCTTACCTTTGTTTTTCTTTTTTAAGGAGATAGATATAATTTTGAAAATTGCAGTGGAGAAAAAAAGACACAGAAATTACCCTTCAATAGCGTTAAGCCATTCCTGTTCCATTAATGTATTTCTAAACCTGAATATTGCATAGAGAAAAGTACATTATCTCAAAGTCTGGAGCCACCTGTAATCTGTTCTGGCCATTACTGGTCTCATTATCAATGCAAAATGCAGGGTGCTGAAAATGCAAAAAAAGAGGGAAGATTTGCTTAATATGAGGTTTGAAAACAAGTAAATTAGATAGATGCACTAGCTATAAACTTCCCAAGTTGGCCAGCTGCAATATTATTTCCTTACTTTTAATTTTAAGAAAGGCTTCCTTTTTTTAATTAAACTGTTTCTGGTCACTCATCATAGCACCATTAAAAGACACTGTCATTTTCCCATGGAAGTGGAAAAACACAGCAGTGCCTGCTTGGTGGAGACGTTGAATTATTGAAGACCTTCCTCTAAAGTTGATTTCTCCAAAGCTTCTGGTTTCTCATGGCTGTTCTTTTTGACCCAGGTTGTTTCCTGGGTCATTCTAAGGAAGAATAGAAAGGAAAGAGGTTTTATCAATTGCATAAATTTATTTATTATTTGATCTAGTCACCACCCAATTCAGGGCAACTCACAATGTAAAAAACAAAATACCAAATATACTTTTCATTCCTCAAGGAATGCTGCCTTCGAATATCCTCACTTTGAGGACACATGCAGTGTCCTTCGAATATCCTCACTTTATGCCATGCAGGACTTCATAAGTCAAACCAGACTATACAATGCAGGTAGGACAAGAAGCAATGGATGGAAAGTAATCAAGGAAAGAAGCAACCTAGAACTAAGGAGAAATTTCCTAACCGTAAGAACAATTAACTAGTGGAATGGCTTGCCTTCAGAAGTTGTGACTACTCCATCATTGGAGGTTTTTAAGATGAGATTGGACAGCCATTTGTCCAGAATTGTGTGGGGTCTCCTGCTTGAGCAGGGGATTGGACTAGAAGAGCTCCAAGTTCTCTACTAACTCTGTGATTCTGTTAAATAATCCCCAGTTCTAGTATGTTCCTAACTATACTAGTCCTGCCTTCCTTGGGGTCCATCTACCCAGACAGCCACTTGCTATTGCTGTATTCTAAAGCTCAAACTCACGGGGAGGAGGAAGGAAGTGCTAGCAGGTTCTCCCTTTCTGCCAAGGGATTATTATCAATTCAGAGTCTATGCAACATGAGCTGCAACAGGGAAAGAGATAAGTCACTCCAAGGACAATCATTACTGGCCATGAGGATAAAACATTTCCTGCTGATTTGCTCCAAAACCTTGAATGTGCTATTAATGCTCCTATGGAAGAGCCCTGTGCTGCTCTTTGGGAAGCGGGCAGCAAAGAGTCAGGCTGAGGGATCCCATAGTGGAACTGGGGAGATTGCTGTCCTTTGGGTCCACTCAGTGGTCACATTAAAGTGCAGTCCAAAGTCATTACCAAGCCCCACCCCCCACCCCAAAAAAAGATTGCCATTGTACTGCTGAGTCCTGATCTGCCTAAACAGCAAGGCAAGCAAGATTCTATGTGGATGGCCTTCATTGGTTATGTCCCTTCGCCCTGAGCATTAGCTGCTGGAGGGAAGAACAACTCCTGATCACCCTCCTCAGCATAATGGGGCAAAGCTAAGCAAGGTAGGGAGGGGCTTTGAAGAGGCTTAGTTAAGCGTCCACTGACATGACTCATAATCACAGGCACAGAGCAATTAGTACAGACTGTGAGACCCATAGCTAGCCCTATGGACCTACCATGGGCAGAAGGGCTCCAAGGAAGATCAGGAGCTCCCCATCCTGCTTCACCACACTCTTCCTCTGCCTCTGTCAGTCAGGTTAATAAGTCCAGAGGAAAGCAGGGGAGAATTGATAATGAGCTGGCTTTGTCCTCAACGGGTCTTGCAAGAAAATGGCATGGCTGGGAAGGTGTGGCCATTGTGGGCAACCCCTGAAACAGCCAGTGGAGCTAATTTTTTAAAACACAGCTCTAGTATTCCTCCAGAAGGATGCTCAAGCCATGTTTTCAAAGAGCCCTTGGCAAACACTAGCCAGGCATTACCTATCAGGGATCCTGTCTCTTCTGTAGCTCTAGTTCAAAGGCCTTTAAAGGAATGGTTGGCTGGCTCAGGAATTCTGGGAGTTGAAGTCCATAGGTCATGTTAAATCGTGGGCGATTGAAGGAAGACTCGAAACAATGTAACTGCGTGTCTTTTCCTTCCCCCTGGTTGTTGTGCTGGGTTTCCCTCTCGACTCTCGTTAATCTTCCCCTGAGCTGGTCGATGTGCCTTTTCCAGTGCTGGCCGTCTGTTGTCTGGACCCGGTAGGACAGGGGTCCCGTCACCTGGGTTATTGTTGCTGGTACCCAGAGTGGGTTTCCGCTCAGGTTTTTTGCGTAGACTCTGTCCCCTGGCTGGAACTCTCGGATTCTGCTCGTGGAGTCAGTTGGCTTCTCTGTGCTGTACTGCGGGTGCAGTCTGTCCAGAGGGGATCTCAGCTTACGGCCCATTAATAATTCTGCTGGGCTTCGGTGGGTCGCGGCGCTTGGTGTAATGTGCTGGATGGCTAATAGTTTATCTAATTTGGCCTGAATGTCCCCTGGGCCTAATCTCATAAACGTCTCCTTTGTAGATCTCACCATCCGTTCCGCCAAACCGTTCGTCGAAGGTTTTTGGGGGGCCGATAAGGTGTGCCTTATTCCTTGGTCAGCAAGGAACATCTCGAAGGTGTTTGATGTGAACGGCGGCCCATTGTCGGAGACTATGAGGTCGGGAATCCCATGTGTGGCGAATAGGCGTCTCAATACTTTAATCACTGCGTCTGCTGTGGTCGTCGACATGAGCACTACTTCGAGCCACTTTGAATATGCGTCCACGATGACTAGGAACATATTCCCTTTGCACAGCCCTGCGAAGTCGATGTGCAATCTGGCCCATGGTGTTCCCGGGTTTTCCCAGTCGTGGACGGGGGCTGAGTTTGGTGCCGCCCTCGACTCTTGGCAGTTTGCGCAGGAGGACACCCACGTCTCAATTTCCTTGTCCATCCCGGGCCACCACACGTAGCTTCTGGCCAGGGCTTTCATCCTCACGATCCCCGGGTGCCCGTCGTGGAGTAATCTGAGTGTCTGTTGTCTTAGTGTGTTTGGAACAATGACTCTATCCCCCCACAACACGCACCCCCTTAGTCCTGACAGTTCATTTTGCCTCCGTTTGTATGGCAGGAACTCTGTGCTTATGTCTTTTTCCTCCGGCCACCCCTTCCAGATCCAATTTAAAATTCGCGCCAGTATTTTGTCCTTTGAGGTGGCCCTCGCGATGTCGGCTGCAGAAATTCGGGCTTCCTCCATCGTCTCGATTAGCAGGGTGGTCATCGCTGGTGCTGGATCCTCCCCCGTTTCTGGAAGTGGGCACCTGCTGAGGGCGTCTGCATGGTCGATTGATTTTCCCAGGTGGTGGAGCAGTGTGTAGTTGTAGGCCGCCAGAAACTCCACCCATCTTAGCATTCTGGGCGACAAAACGGGGGGGTGTTGGTTTGTCCCCTGCTATGATGCCTAACAATGGCTTGTGGTCGGTTATTAGTTCAAAACTCCGACCGTAGAGATACTCATGGAACCTTTTTATTCCGGCTACTGCGGCTAACGCCTCTTTGTCCAATTGGCTATAGTTCCGTTCGGGTTTTGACAAAGTCCGGGAGAAAAATGCAATGGGGGCCTCTGTTCCGTTAGGCATCTTGTGGCTCAATACAGCTCCGATGCCGAAGGGGGATGCATCACAAGTTAGTCTTATGGGTAATGTCCCGCTGTATTGCACTAAAACTCTGTCTGACGTTAAAAGGTTCTTTATGTCTTCGAACGCTTTCCTCTCTCGCTCCCCCCATTTCCATTCTGCCTTCCTGTCCAGTAGCCGGTGGAGTGGTTCAGCAGTGGTAGCTTTCTGCGATAGGAAGATATTATAAAAGTTAAGCAACCCCAAAAATGCCTGCAGTTCGGTTTTATTTTTTTTGGGGGGGTGCTTCCTTGATCGCTCTCAGCTTCCCGGGGGTGGGTCTAATTCCCGACTCATCTATCAAGTATCCCAGGAACTCGACCTGAGTCTCTGCTAGTTGGCACTTGTCCCTTTTAACTTTGAGTCCCACTTTCTGGAACCTTGTCAGCACCTCCCTCAGCCGCTGCTTCAATTGAGTCGTGTCCCTTGCTGATATTAATACATCGTCGAAATATGGGACGACTCCCTCGATTCCCTGTAGGAGTCGTTCCATCAGGCTTTGGAAAAGCCCGGGCGCTACGCTCACCCCAAATTGCAGTCTCTTACATTTGAATGCGCCCCTGTGTGTAACGATGGTTTGTGCTTCTGCGGTGGCTTCATCTACGGGCAGCTGCTGGTATGCTTGTGCTAAATCCAATTTTGCGAAGATTCTTCCCCTCCCCAAGGAATGCAAGAGGTGTTGGACTACTGGTACAGGGTATGCGTTTTGTTGGAGCGCCTTATTTAATGTACTTTTATAGTCTCCGCACAAGCGTACTGACCTGTCCGGTTTAATCGGTGTCACGATGGGGGTTTCCCATCTCGCGTGGTCTATTGGCTCTAACACTCCCTGCGCGACCAGTTTATCTAATTGTTCGTCTATTTTTGGCCGTAGCGCAAAGGGACTCTCCGGGGTTTGATTCGGATTGGGGCTACCTGGGGGTCTAAATTGAATGAGATTGGGGACCCTTTGTACTTGCCTAGCTCGTTGTTAAAGACCTCTGCGAACTCCCTCATCAGGTCCTCCTCCCAGGTGTCGTTTCCGATGTGATCGACGCCGGTGATGGCTAGCCCCAATGGCTCGAACCACTCCATGCCCAGCAGGCTGGGCCGGTCTCTGTCCACAATCATGAGGGGTAGCGTGGCTTTGAATGTCTTGTAGGCTACGTTGAACTTGCCAATGCCTACCACAGGAATTTGGTTCCCTTGGTAGTCGATGAGGGTGAGGCGCTGTCGTTTGAGGTCGCGGGCTGTGATGTGTGGCAGGAGCTTCTTGATTGTTGTCCAGGATACCATCGATAGGCTGGATTCCGAGTCCACCTCCATTCTGCAGGGTCTCCCCTCGATCAAGACTGTTGCCGCCATCTTATTTGCCCTTCCCGCGCTGGCATGGCCGATCACGATGGTTTGATGGGTCTCGCCTCGATCCGCCCGATGGTCATCGTTTCTTTGTCCTCGCCCAAACGGTTGTCTCTTCCCACTTGTCTGGAATTTTCTGTTGTTTGTTGGCGATCGGGGGGGTCTGGTCCTCCTTGAGGCTGGCTGGGATGCCCTGCAGACCCTCGCTATGTGCCCTTTCTTTTCGCATCTTTGGCAGATAGCGTCCCGGAATCTGCATTCGGCTCTCGGGTGGTTCCCTTCGCATCCCGAGCACCAGGCCTCTCTCTTCCCCTGTTGTCTTTCCTTGCGATCGGCTCGGAGGTGATGGACTTCATCCTCCTCGTCCTCTTCCTCCGAACCCGATTCCACTCTTTCATAGTGCACGGCCGCCTCCTCCTTTACGGTCGGCCCGCTTTTCATTTTCTTCATAGCCGCCGCCGATTTCTGGGAAGCTTCGGTTGCGGATGCTTCTTCCAAGGCCTCCTTGAATGTAATTTGAGGCCGGGCCAGCAACCTACTCTGTAACGTGAGGTCCCTCAGTCCCAGTACTAGACGGTCCCTCATGGCCTCTTCTAGATTCAGGAAATCGCATGCGGCAGCTATTTCCCGCAAGGTCGCCACGAACGCACTGATTGTCTCTCCCTCTCTTTGGTCCCTCCGATAAAACTCATGCCTTCTTACCAGGGATGATGCTTGCAGTGCGTAGTGTGCCTTGAGTATTTCTTGCAACGTTGTCCAGGTCATGGTCTTCAGATCGGCTGGGGCGGCAAGCGCTTTTGCCATTTTAAACACTGCCGGGCCGCAATGGGTGAGGAAAAGGGCCCTCTTCCTCTGCTCTGATAAGCTCAGCAGATCATTCGCCTCCATGAACATATAGAATCGCTCCATGTAAGCTTCCCGATCTTCCCGGTTGGGTTGAATGGAGCGGGCGGTGTGATTGCAGACATCACGATAGCCGATGATCTGACCGGTGTTTCGGTGGATCGGATGGGTGGCTGATGATTGCTTGGAGATTGATGTGCAGTCCTGTTCCTTCAGATCCCACCTTCGTCGCCAATGTTAAATCGTGGGCGATTGAAGGAAGACTCGAAACAATGTAACTGTAACTCTTTTATTTAACTCCAGAAACAGCAATGGCAATTCAAACCCCGGGCAACCCTTTATATAGGAAGGGGCTGTCCCCGGCTGCAACCACTGACGTGCCTTCTAATTTCCCGCTCTCAGGACTAATTCCTGATTGGCTCATTTGAACTGTACTTGATATCTAACAGGTCATAAAGGGGCCATAGCTCCCCACCCCGCCTTAGCCCTTGGCTCAAGCCTTTCCCATTCCTGAGGGTCGGGCCTTCAGCAGATTCACTCCCCAGGAGCCTGAATCACAACTCAGATATTGGCCTGGCACGGCTGTGCCCTTGTCTCTGCCTGCCTGGCACTTTGTTCAGCATGCCAGCTTCTCCAGTGACTCTGCTCTCAGCTATGAATGTCAAGCTCCTCTTGCCTGGCCCTGTGGTGGAGCTGAGTCTTCTTGGAAGCAGCACTGCCAGTGGTCACCAAGGGAGAATTCAGAAATGGAACTGTTTGTAATTCTGCTTTTATCAACTCCTTCTTTACAAAGGTTCCCTATGAGTCTTCCTTGTCAACTTGGCAATGTCCTAAGTTGATTAAAATTGACTTTCTTAACACCCGGGTTCGACTCTACTCTTTCTCTTCCAATTAGAATCAAGACCTCTGGCTTCTAGCAATCGTCCTCCT